ATTGAAAGCACGCCAAACACGTAGACTAGCATCCTTTTTGCGACGACTTCAACATCTTCAAACCTGTAGACATCCTGAATACTACCATGAACAAACACAGCAAGAATGGCTAGCCATTCGAAGAGCTCAGGGCTACGGGCGGTCATGGGAGAGATGGATCCTTTCGTTCGATTGCATCCCATTCGTCCCGTGCACAACACCCACGCAAGAGTGGGTTGCCGAAGTTTTCCAAATAACCAAGCTTGACGCAGATGCTTACGCTCGACAGGAAGCCAAACTGCGACGTTACCACCAAAAACATTGTATAACTTTTGCTCAGGCCCATAATAATAATGCCAGCACATACCGGATTATCCGTGGAAAGGAACAACGTTTCCTGAATGACTTCCCAATATGCCACACATCTCCTGCACACTTGTGCCGGGCCAAGGCCACTAAGCCCAAACTTAAGATGTCTAATCCCTTCGAGATCCCTGTTGGAGCGACCATTACCTTTGGATCTTGTTCGGCCGTGGTCCACTCATGCCGTTTACCATTCGTCGAACTGGCACAAGTCTCCGGACCCTTACCTAGTCAAGCCACGCTTCACTACAAGACACACGCATATACTGTCCAAGACATGTCACCTGCATTCCATAAATTTTGGGCACAGTTTTGGCTTCGGGACTCAGTTGAAGAGCAATGTACAGATGCACCCTGGCAAGCACTCTTGTATGATTTAGATACAACTGTCCCGCTCCAACCCATGCTCGATATAAAAATCGATAGCCCCCAATGTCTGTGGGACTCCATTCATCGGTTAAAGCCATATAAAGCAGCCGGAGCCGACGGATGGCATTCGGAAGAGCTCCAGATGCTCACGCGAACCATGGTCTCGGACCTTGCCCAACTTCTCGGTAACACGTGGTCCTTAGGCTTCTCTGAAAGATTAATGCAGGCTAGAACTTTGCTCTTTGCCAAAAGAGACCACCCTGAATCCATATCCGATGGGCGGCCTATTACCATTCTCGGATATCTAGCACGACTATCTTCCAAAATGATATCAGACCAGATACTCCAGCAGTGGGCCTCCACATGGCCACCAGAAATCAGCGGGGGTCTCCCACGCCGCTCTGCCAGAGATTTATCAGTTATCCAACAACTCCAGATAGAACAGGCAAAAACGCACCACACTGCGTGGGGGGTTGGACTATGGACCTTGTTAAGGCCTTTAATCTTATCCCACGCCAAGTCATCAAGCACATTTTCCAACTATTGGGAATTCCAAGCTTTGTCACCAATTTTTGGTTCTTGTCTCTTACGAAATTGTCCCGTGCACTTCAAAATGGCCAGTCCCTCGGTCCGGCTACGGCCTCCACTACGGGCCTGCCCGAGGGTGATTCGATGTCCGTGGTAGGAATGCTTGCCCTTAGTTTCGTCTTCCATGCTAAATTGAAATCGCCCCGACTCTTCCCATACGCCTATGCAGATAATTGGAGTTTTATGTCCACCTCCGAGAGAGAATGTTTCCGTGCCATGACCACAATTCTGAACCTCATCACAGGACTCAAGATGAAGATTGATTTTGCTAAGTCATGGTGTTGGGCAACCACCAAGCAATTTAAGCTTTTTTGGCACGACGCCTCAGTCATCCTCTTGGACCCTGCTTTCGCTTTTCAAATCAAGAGCCATGTACACGACCTTGGATGCACCATTTCGTACAATAACCAGGTTGTCCTTGGACCCTTAAGAGATAAAATCGACAACGCCATCGCCAAATGCAACCGTTTGCGCAAATTAGATTTAACTCTTGATGACAGAGCAGAAAAGATCCAAATCGCTATTTGGCCGGCCGTTTTCTATGGAGCTCTAGGCGCTAGTATTGGCCAGAAGCACTTCACCAGCCTTCGGCGAGCTGCCGCAACAGTCCTCGTAGGCGACTACAAGCATGCCTCTAGTTTCGTCGCTCTCCATTATTTGTCAGCCAAGATCCAAGACCCAATGCTATATTTGATTACAGACATGCTAACCACGCTACGACGTTATTTTCTCTACTACCCAAACCTTGCCAGTCAGGTCCTACAAACCATCCGCGCATTCGATGGAAAAGTCAGGGGTCCGGCCAGTGCCCTGGCCTCCTACCTGCGTTTGCTAAACTGGAGCATCACATCCACCGCCACACTCCTGGGCCCCGGCGGCCTCAGAATCAACATTCCTAGTTCCTCCAATCGACAGATCAAAAATCAATTGCGAATCTCCTGGGACTGGTTTTGCCATAACAACATCCTCCACCGCAAAGGTGTACCCTCAGAACCATTTGACTCCACCACCACCTTGCGGCTACTCAACAAGCTTTCAGATCGACACAGACGTATCCTTGCACTCAGCTTAACATCAGGTTGGCAATCTCTGGGCGGTATTGCCCAATGGGCTGCCACACAAGAACCTGAATGCCCTTGGTGCAAACAACACGACACACATTGTCACCAGCTCTTAGACTGCCCCACTTTCGCTGAGCTACGTGCCCAACATCCCCAAGCTATCACGTACATGAACCGCAATCGTCGTGTGTGCTGGTTCCCGCTTCCAATGCATCACCCCGATACGGGCCTAGCCCGCCAAGCAATGTTCCTACGTCACCGCACTATCTTTACGAATCCACCTCAGTCTTTGGCCAGGCACTCGGTCATTTACACTGACGGGTCCTGCGACGACACCAGGGACCCCTATACTGCCCGTGCTGCTTGGGCCGCGATCTACCGTGCACCGCATCCGGACAATGCCAACCCTCAAGCCTTCTCAGTTCTCGCCTGTGGTCATTGCCCAGGACACCAGACCATAAACAGATCCGAACTATATGCTATTACAATAGCCGTCGAACATATTGCAGCCTACCCATCCGACGCACAGGTCACCTTTGTTACAGACTCACAATTTGTAGCCGACGTCATCCAAGACATCAATACAGGCAACATATGGAACCACCCACATAAAAAAGCCCGTTGGGACCTCATCCAACGGCTTATTGAACTATGGCACCCACTTCGATTCATCCTTATGAAAATTCGATCACACCAAGATATAAGTCAGGCCCAAGGCGAGGAAGAAGCCTGGCACATCTATGGTAACTCATGTGCGGATATTGTTGCTGGCAGAATGCGTCTCACAGATGAACAAGATTTCTCAGACCTTTGCCAAGACATTCGACATGCCCGCCTGCAGGAACGTGATATTTACAACCAAATTTACCAATACCTCGTTGACCTTGCGCTTGCCCGCTTGGACAAAATGGACCAAAAAGTTGCAGATGTACCAACCCACCAGGCGCCTGTTGGTCTTCAGGCGCCTGCTGCGCACACAAATTATCTCAAACAGATGCAAAAACTCAGGGAATGGACAGTCACTGGTAATCTTTTTGTTCACCCTGGTGAACCCCACAAAGTTGTCTTCTGGTGTAGCCCATGGGGTACGAATTTAACTCGTATGATCTGGCAGTTCTGTCAACTGCTGGTGTGGCCATGCCCGGATCAACCCCCCGAATATGGGGAGCAAGGTATCTCTTGGACAGAACTTGCTTTCTCCTTCATGTTATGGTCCCAGAAAATCTTGCCCGTTAAGATTCGAGATAACAACCGCCAGATTTACCTGGAGTATGATGATCCCAAAGTGGCTCTGCTCCCTTCGATCTGTAAGAGTCTTGTCGGAAAATTTCCGCTGGATTGTCAAGCACATACAAACTTTCTCCAAAAGCCATATTATTCCGCAATATAGAAACAGGGTTGTTCCAGTCTCACTAGACTCGGCTTCACGGCATATCACGAGGGAGGGGTATCCCGACGCCCCGTCCTCCCTAATTTGAACAGCACCTGTGACTTCATTCACGGCATGTTGCAGAACATGTCCCATGATCCACCATACCACACTGAAGTTGAAATGCCTGCTTTGCCTGATAGTGATCACGCCGTACAGTGGCCAGACTGGCCTGAAGTTCCGGCGGATAAGCGTGAGTCTTTCCTGATTCAGGTTCGTAATGCCACCGCCCGCAAGAAAGACTTCGATACCATCAGGCACCCGAATGCCTATGCGTGAATTAGTTTCATGAATAATTGAACTGAAGGGTTCGTATAATTCCCTCCGCCAAGGTCCTGACGTGGCTGATCTCAAATCCACATGCATTGATGCTCACGAAACCCTGACCGTGTCATCCATGACATCCCGGGGCATAGTACAATGATAGAGGTGGTGTACTCTTTCCATGCCTGACCTTGCAGGGCTCAATTCATAATTAACGCCCCTCGCACTGACAGCGGAGCCGTATTTGCTTGAAGGGACTTACGGCTCATAACTTCGGTCGGGGGGGCTACTCCTATGCTTTGATGTGTTGTTGCTCCAGTTGAGGCCGGTTCTTTGGTGTATGTTGCCCGGCAATTTCGTCAGTTCATCCCACTTTCGTCATTCTCGTTCTGGTAGCTCGTTTCTCACCCCTCACTCAGCAACGTTTCACATCCTAGTCCCACCGGAACCCCTTGGAATAGCCAAGAAGGGATCGTGTGGGCGCGCTCGTCGTGGACGGACCGCAAGTCCGCGCATTCAAATGGAGGGGGTTATTAGTCAAGAGTCTACATGTTATATATATGTATATATATATATATATATGGTGTATATGTTTTGGTTGACCATTGGGCCTTGACTTTGTATAGCTGGGCCCTAAAACCCCCAGTGTAGAAGGAAAGAAAAGAGGAGCACCCAAGAATCCAAATCAATGAATCAATGTGTTGGTATGCGGTATGCTCTGTGTTGATACACCGCCCCCCGGTTTGGGGTGGTTAATGGACCACCCCTTAACCTCTACGGGGCTTTCATTGGACACTCAAACCAGCGGGGCCTTGGTAGAAGCATGCCAATTTTCTACCGCGTTTCCTTGGTATGGTGAACTCTTCCACACTCGGCATCTGCACCCTCCCGCGCAAGCCCTTTCGCCGCGCGGAAGCCGGGTTGATTCGCTTCCGCCAGCTCGGCAGGACCTTCCGTGTCCTCGGTGACCTTCTCCCCAGATGGGCGGATGTTGTTGGCCAACGTGCAGGTCGTGCGCGTGCGCGAAGCGCCCGAACTCGGCTCGAAGGTTCCATGGACTGGGTGTGGTAAACCTCCCAGAAGACCTCCTGGAAGACGGAGCATATAGACCACAAGCCATTGGTGGGGCGGCTCCTCATGATCTAGAAGACGCACCGCTTCACTCCTGAGTTTGTGGTAGGGGATAGGTGGAGGTTTTGCGCGACCATTGCGACCCTAAAGCCGAAACTCCGACATTCACAGACACGACGAATGGAACTGCCATAGGACTGCCGCCCCAGACGCACCCCCCTGGCACCACCCCTGGCCGTTTCTCGGCAGTCCGACATGGCAGTCCCAGACGGGTCGTGTCTGGGATTGGTCCGATGGCGCCAACAAGCGTTGGGGGTCTCCCCACCTGCCAAGCCCGCTGAAAAGCGGCCGACCAGGTGGAGCTGTACTCGGAGGTGCGCGTGATTTCGGCCCTGGACGGGCGACAGCTCTTCCATGTGCGGCTGGAGGGCGTGATGACTGCCATGCCACTGGGTGATGGCATGAAGAAACGGATCTGGGGATGAGTAGATGCGGATGGGGATGGGCCGGGGCCGGATGGGGATGGGGTTCTTCAACTGCCAATGGCCCACTCCTGCTCACGAAAATCACTAAATACGTTGGTGGCCTGGCACAGACAGACAGACACCAACGTTCACAGGACTATTCAGGTCACTGCGAGCAGCGAGCACCTCAGAAATCCTGCGACCTCCCCAGTGATCCATGAGACGTTTTCCGTCACAAGCAGAAACAGCCGCCACATGCCCGCGGGGGCTAGAGCAGGTTGAACAGCCCTTTTGAGCCTAGTCTCTTTTGTATTCCATATATGTACCACTACCAGGAGCTTCCTGATCCAAGCCCCGGTGCTTTTAGGGACACCCCATAGGCCCTAGGCCCTTCACCTCTAAGAGGCTACGAGACTATAGACACCTCTCTTGCTCTAGAGTCCGGTCCTGAGGTCTCTAGAAAGGGTGCGCCCTAGAAAGGAAGGTGTCTAAGGTCTAGGGTCCACCTTCTTGGGTCTAGGGTGTCTAGGGTCCGAAAGCTGCAGGTCTCAAGAAACCTCTCCACCGCTCAGAGCTCCGCCCGCCCTACCCAAGGTGGCAGCCTTCTGCCGAGGCCTTTGCTGCGCCAGAGTTCCCGGTGCCCGAAGTGGTTCCAGAGCAAGAGAAGGTGTGGAGGGCATGGAGATAGCCAGCCTGTATCTGCGGAACATATGCGTGGAGAGCTCCTGGAAAGCGGGGCGTAGGCTGAAGGGGCTTGAAGGTTCCCTATTGGGAGAGTGATAGCCCACCTACCATCATAAACCACGGACCATCACTCAATATACTTCAACGATTTGGACTGCTATGTTGCTATTACTGTATGCTGTATGCTTTTGTTGTCCGGGAGAGGTTTGGCATGTCCAAGCACTCTAAGCTCCGAAAACTTTGCCAACTTCCATCCGTCCACCTCCATCTCCAACAGCCAGCACCCTTCCAAGAGGTGGGTTTTTGATGGTTCTTGGACATCCCTGAAGTAGCCTCTTAACAGAAGGCTCTTTACAGACACCTCTGGGGTTTGGTCCTGGAAGTTGACCTTTGAACCAAGAGGAATTCCCGTTGGCCCCACCGGACCCCGCGCGAGAACGGAGAAGGTCCCAGAACCCTGGAGCGCCTGGATCCTTTCAGATCCATGGGAACGAGCTGGCTTTGTAAAACCCTTAGGATTCGGACCCTTCACACCACTGGTTGGCCAGTTTTGAGGGACCCAGGGACCCACCATACCAGTGAAAGCCTTTCACCCTCCAGCAAGGCCATCCAGATCGAGACCAGGGACCGGGAGTGGCTGCACCAGAGGCCCAGTTGAAGCCGCTTCTTGTTCAAGTCAGGGGGGTCATGAACATTCCAAGAGAGGTTAAGTGACCTTCTAGGACCCCCACTGGGGTACCTGTAAGATGGTCTAGAGATGTGTAGAGTCTAGTTCGGGTTCTTCAAAAATGCAGGAAGAGCATCTGGAGACACTTCTCTGGTGCTTTCCGATGTTCACCTCCCAGCCCTCCAAGACTCTTCCCCAGCCTTCCAAGACTCTTCAGCAAGTCGTTGAGCTGGTTTGGCAGTTGAAGAACGTCCTTAGCCAACCAAACCCTTCGAACCAATGGTGGGCGACTGGAAGCCTGGGGCCGGCATACAGGTCATCACTGCTTCCCTTCCCTTCAAGAAGGTACTTCACCTGGGCGTGGGCGACTGCCACCCAGCTTCGTCGGCATGCCAAATGCCCATCACGAGTTGGTCACTTCCGGAAGTCCCAAGACTCTTATAAAAGAAACAGCTCTTTCAAGTGATCCGAATTTCATGACCATGTCCTGTGCCATGGACCGGTGCCCTGGACCATGGACCGGCGACGCAGGCTCGCCGAGGGAGCCGGGGAGCTCGAGGAGTTGGAGGAAGCGCTCGCCGCGCCGCAGGCGCGCGGAGCGCGCGCGCGGAGCGCTGCCCTTCGACGGTGAAGACGTGTCAACTTGATGGGTTTTCGAGGCCAATTGAAACAAGTAGGGAGGACCTGCTGAGTTTTGGTAGGGTCAAAACTCACTAGTATACCCTAGAAGTCCAGTTCGACTATATTGGACCGACTGAAGGATCCAGACAATTCCTTGACTCGGGGTCACCGTTCGGACTGGACCATTCTTTTGATAGTCGACTAGACTCCCAGGGAGTAAGTGGGACCAAATGCCTCTACAGGCTGTACAGGTCAGTCGGACCATGTAGTCGACACTGCTCGATGAGCTCGCTGTTCAGGACCAGGTTCCGGTCAGCCCGTAGGGCCCGTCGGGCTACGGGGTGATGGAGGAACTCGGGTGGGGCGGACCTCTCGAAAGCGAAATCGAGCAGGATGTCCTGGTGTCGAATCGAACCACCCTGGGAAGAGGGAGGATTTGGAGGGGGGTGCCCATGAAAAAAAGCACCCAAATGGGGGATCCGTGTTGATTGGTCATTGACCGTGTTGAATGGTTCAAGTGGTTTCGACCATGAGCAGTTCGGACTAGTCTCTTGAGGTTGCTTTCCGGGGCCCCACATTCAGGTTGATGATTCTGGTTTGGTTTGCTTGGAACTTTCATTAGCTTGCCAGGACTGAAGCAAGAAGAGTGCACGAGCGCGCTTGGAGCAGCGGGTCGGTTCCCTCAACTGACCGACTGGGTAGTTCCAGGGTCACGTCCCGCCAAGACGTGGAGTCCAAAGGCAAATCTGGTGAGTGTACCCCTCCCTCCACCCGTGGAAGTGGACCAATTGCCCCTAGGGGAAGACGATTTTCCTCCTACCCGGACCATCCAATGGGTATCTAACAGATATCTCTAAGCAGTGCAGGGTCGTGGACAACCATTGGATGGTAGACAGATGGTGAACTCCGCTTCCATGTTTGCCAGTGCGGCAGAGTACCTTATACATCGAACCGGTGACCCCGAACCTGTTGGAACCCCCTCTGGGGACGTTTCAAACGGTGCCAGTTGTGCGAGTGCCGCGCCACAGACCCATCTGCTCTTCGAGTTCACCGGGGCGCATGGCTCTTGCTTGATGAGCAGCTCCCTGGAGGAACCGGAGAAGGGCGAGCGTTGCTGGGGCCAAGTCCGGCGTCCATGCCCGGGTAGTCCATGCAGTCCATGGGTCAGAGAACACCTACGACGGGAAGTCCGTGGATGTTTTTGCAGGTCATCGTCTTTTGGGGAGGATTGGGAGGGCCCGACTCAACTAGAACAGGTGGAAGGTTCGTTTTGTTTTCTCTCCCTAGGGCATTTCACACTTCTTTTATGCCGTTCCGACCAGAGAGTCAGCGGCATGGCAACCTTCCATTTGCGAAGGCGGAGCTTGATCGATGGGAACAGGTGGAAGGTTCGGCTAAGCCTTATTGCTTTCATGGAGCTGAGGGAGTGAAGGATGCACGAAATAGCTCGGCCAAGTCAGAGTGTCTAAGCGTACGAGGGCCAAATGCGAAGGAACTCACTTTTGTTGTATCTATAATGCGATACTTAGCCACATGGGGTGGTTAATAGACACCCCTTCAATCCCCTTCACCTCTTTTCACACCCCAAAAAGGGGGTCCTGGCATCGATGGCCTCATGGCTGCAATTGGATCATCTAGACCCGAAAACCTGCCGGATGTGAAGCAACTGGATGCAGACCGGATGTAGCCTTCCTGGCCCGGTCATGACTGGTTTGAATCAACAGCCATTCCGGGTGCAGGTCCAATTTCACTTAGCAAAAGCAGATCCTTTCTGTCCTAAGCCTATACATGACCAACTTCCGTCAAATCTGCAGGGATTTTGTGTTGTGAGTTTTTGCACTACAACACCAGGTCCTCCATGTTTAAAGTGGTCGACGGAAAGGCTAGGCACACGTCTCCCGTCTTTACCGAATCTCATGGAGCCACATGGGCCAGTAGCCTCATGGAAACGGCCTGCACGGAGGTCTTGGAAAGGATACTGGCCTCGCTGATCATGTTCTGGGATTGTGAGGTCAGTGCTCCAAGAGAAAGCCATATCTAAACACGGCCTGACCATTGAACGTTGAGAAAGGTGCCTGAGAATCCTTGCTCCCCCTCCCTTTCCTCGACTCGCACCTTGCAGGAGGTGCTCGCCGCGCCCCGCGACTTTGCCATGGCCTTCTGCCAGCGCCAGCGGCTCCCGCCGC